TTGTATCGATCCATAATAATGCAGTCTCTATCGTTATCGGAGGTCTCGCCGATTTGTCCGGCTGTCAATAGGAAATTACAACTGAGCGTCACGTAAATATTTATAGATCGTATCGTGGATAACGCGCATTAATACAAAGGCATCGCCATTCGCTAAAGCGCAAAGATCATAAATGGGATTTAATCGAAGCGTAATTGGTTAATCGGTTATTACCACAGCTAGCTTTTTAAACGTCACGGTTGGTAACAAGCGTGGTGGCGAATCGGCCGCGGCTATAAGGTACAATAAACACCTCGCCCGTGGAAAACGCCGCGCGTTATGTGTAGGGCTTCGTAATGTCATATAACAGCGATGCACTGTTGATTGCAGTTCCGGTTCCGCAGATACGATTTTGCCCGTTGTAGAATTAGCAGAAATTCTGGCTCAGCGAGTAAAACGATATCGCCGTCGCAGTGGCAGCGGCAGCGGCAGCGCATTAATGACACGTGCTTCGCGTAATTTCAATAGCCGATGCGGTGCATCACGGCCGGGCGACGCACTCTATATCTCGACGCACACGTACGAGCGACTCGACGGCTAATGCCTCCGGCCTCGCTGAACGAATCCGTCACGACGGTAATGAGCTTGCGCTGCCCGATGTCGATGCGGATAAACAGAGAGCGACGTTTATTCGACGTCTACCAAGATAAAGTTTCCCCATAACCGCGAACGGAGATGTATACATAATGTTTACATAGACTGCTCATATAGATCGTCGATCCGGCAAGAAGACGGAAGGAAAGGATTAAATAGAAATTTCTTTTAAATATGCTTTCCTAAAGATACTCTCTCTGTGTACCGTCGGAAATTTCAAATGTAACAGTTACGTTATCACTTTTCGTAATATTCAAAATAAGCTTGTGCTACTTGATCTCGGTGCATAAAGAGATAGACAAAGAGGAACATTTATACGACGCGAGATACGACGACCGAGATAAAATTCCCTTATATACATAATGGAGAAATGTTTACATGTATTATCGCTGTAGTAAAATCCAAAAAGGATTTTAAAATTGAAATTTAAAAAATATTCTTCACATACATTAATATCATCGAAATTAATAACCTTACTAATTAAATTATTATAATTTGTTACTTTACAAAATATCCGTGACTCTACGAAAAATGGTTCATTTAGGAATAAGACACTACAGGATAGATTGCAAAAGAGCGCAACGACACACACGGGGGAAAGCTAACGTTTCGAGCAATACGGCTTGTACCAAAAACGTGATCAACGAGCGAACATAATTCGTAGAACCTCAGACTAATGGCCATCTGTTCCCGCGGTTCAAGTAATTACAGCAGTAAAGCGCGTTTCTTAATTCCGGCGATTAATCCACATTTCACGCGGTACATTCGGAATGATTTAAGAAATTTAAGACACGATGAGACCGACTGCGATAATAACGCGCGTGAAATGTAACGTTTAATTTGCCTCGAGCGCGCGGGGCACGCACCCACCACGGTATTAGACGGGGAGAGCGGCGATGTTGAGAATGATAACTAATTCACGCCACGTAATCTCGAAGAAAAACACTATTCCCGTTATACGCCACGTCGTAACCGGTGCACATTGAATAATGCGCGCGTTATATACACTCCGAGACTGCACATTTTGCGAGAAGTGCGCATCACCTTTCGCGCGGCGAACTCTCGAAAAACGCGTCATTTACGTTTTTGGATCGCCAAAACTCGACTTACGGCTCTCCCGAGATCAACGGCTGCGGCAACGTTTATGCTATCAAATTTCGTCGAACAAATTGTAAAATAAAGTGACACGCGCGTTACAATTCCAACATAAATTACAAATGTTCGCATAAAAAAATCTATTAATACATTAGGTACGTTGAGAAACACGCCACCGTTGCTCATGTTGCAAACACTTTGGAAAGAAAAATTTTTATCTTCAAAGCCCAGCGGGAATAGATATGCAGGTTTCCAACTTTGGCCATCTGGGTACAAAGTTCCGTCGCTTTTCCAGAGTTGAGAGTTGAAAATTCGCTATCGCTATTGAATGCCATGAATAAAACCCTATTTACGTCTAAGTTTCTAGTCGCGCGGTTAAAGTGAAATTTATTCATTAATAAGACCCCCCATTTTCAATAAAATTCGAGTCAGCTCTTTTTCCCCTTCTGGAGTTTCCTCTATTTTTCCGAATGCCGCTTCGTTTCTTTTATCTCGCTTTAGGGATTAATCGGGGGAGAAAACGTTGACCCAGCGCGGACTTCAAAGAAGATACTTATTTGTGCGAGAAAGCGTTAATGGCGCGCCTCCCGCCCTTTCGGGCCTCTAAATGAAGCGCGGAAAATAGCAGCGCGCGGAGCAAATGGAGAGTTCTAAACAGAGTTCGGGGTTCTCTCGCGGACTATCATTCAAACCGTTCGGCCCACTCGCGCCGCTCGCGGTATAACGTCAGAGTACACCGGCGGAGCATGTGTCTGCTCTATGGAGCGGCGCAGCCACTTCGGAGCAATTTATTTCGTTCCTTCCCCGCGTCGAGATATCGTACCGTTGCGTCGCGGAAAGAGTGATGGATGTTGGAGCGTCGCTTCTACGCAGGAACGTACGAAACACGCGGAGGCGCCGTTAAGGTCGAGTGCCTCGGATGTAGGACACTTTATACAGTAGCACCCCTCCCCCTTCCCTCCTCAACGTCCTTCTCCGCCCTCGTCACACTTTTAGGTTCCGGATTCTCAATAACGCGCACCAATTTACCATCGACACGGCATGTCCGTTTGAATTAGTTACGCGCGCGAGGGATACGACGCGAGAGTCAACAAAAGCGCCGTCGCTCTGAAAGACCACGAGAAGAAACGATCCCCCAAGAGGACCGCGATGAAAGAGCTTTTTTAGAAACTACGCTACTATAACATAAAATTAACGAGAAGCTAGCCTCAATTTCATACGCAGTCTAGTTATCAAACCTCGTAATTTCGGTAAACAGGAAGAAGTTTATAACATAACGCATATACTCTTGTTTATCTTCCACGAGAAACTGATGTTAATAATCTCTATTATATCATTAAAGCGAATATCGCATAGAAGTTAATAAAAACAATTTTGACAAGAAACGAGATTAAAACTATTTTTGCAGAAACGAGATATAAACGAGAATAACTTTTTTATGTGTAGATATATAAATATTTCTTTATATAGATTTCTTTAATATACATTTAAACAATCACCGCTTTAGTCATTTTGTTCATTCTATTAATCTTTAATATACTCTAATTTCAGGTGACAAATAATAAGTGAAACTGGACCGATATGATTCTCAATTATGTAGAGAGAAAGTGCTATTTTCGGTCGAGCTGAATCTTGATGGAAGCTTAATAATAATGTTTTTGTGTGTGAATTTTGTATACCTTTTCCAACTTAGCAAACTGCGCGCTATTGGTCGGTCTTGAAACGCAGTTCTCCGTTAGAACAGTAAACCCACATATTTTAAATCAATTAATCAATTTAACTTTTAATGTTAATAAGTATTTTATTTAAATTACTGTAAAGAATTTATTACCTCAGAAAAATATTACCTCAGCCAGGGTTCAAACATAGACCTGGAAATTCTTTACAGTAAATTTAAAAAGGAGATGCTTAGTATATCAAATGTTAAATCAATTCTATTCTTTTCTGTTAAATTCTAGACCGACAAATAATCGGCGCGCAGAGTTTACCGAGTTGGAAAAGGTATACAAAATTCATACAAGTGTATTATTAATTTGGCTACCAAGATCCAGCCCGGCCGAAGATAGCACTTTCCGTACTTAATTGATTCTCCGCGTTGTTATACCATATTAAAAGTGTGCGATGTTCGGTTTGATCATCTATTCTTATCGTGACATTTTAAATACGTAGGTATATCGTAATTGCGCCAGTGTATACGAATATTATATCAAAATACTCGCGCGCCACGAACACACGACTACGGCCATAAAATCAAACTCGGATAACTCCGGGGAAAAATTTTTTCTCGTTTCGCCGCACTAATAATTTTATTCCACAAAAACGCCTAGTATTCAAATATTCAATATTCATGTATTCAATGTGAAAACGTTCGCCCGGCTTCAGGTGTAGAACATCACGAATATGTGAAAAATTGCCGCAAGCTACATGAATAACGCGGGAGTGAAGTCTCCCACCCTTACGCAAAAGGGAGATGAATTACTAGATTTCAAATCAGCTGTAAGAATTTGAATAAAACAAAAGTCTGTCGCGCGACGCGACGGCGGGGTGACGCGTTGAAATTTCAGGCTCGCTCCCCTAAATTCCCCCGTGCTTGTGATACGACCAAAACGGTTAGCGAAATGGAACGCAGCCGCGCGAGTGCCAGCCTTAACGATTCGACCGACAATCGATATCTTTTTACTCCTTTTTTCCATACAGGTCAGCGGAAAGTCCGGTTATGCGGTTGATTAAAATCCGGATTAACAATCGACTCGGAACGAAACAACCCTCTCTCCGGCAAGGGAGAATCCGCCCGCGAGTGGGAGAAGGTGCATGACCCGACCACTCGCTACAACCCCACCATCATTACGTCCAACCCGTAGGCAAATCTCTCGGCCTCCGAAAATATGCAACTTTAAACTTCGCAAAAGTACTTTTAACCCTCGGGTGGCTGTTACTGCGCGATCTACAAAGCGCTCGATATCGATATTCGGACAATGATTAGCCGCGAATAACCGATACAAGGTCGAGAATGAAGGCAATAACGCCGTAAGCTCCCAAGCGTCACCACTTGTTTTATATCGCTTTCTTTCCTGCAGGAATATTGACTTCTTGACCATTTCGCAGTATTAATTCCAGAAATAATCCGCTTGTTAATTCACATCCAAGATTTATTCACCGTTGGAGATTCAAGTAACACCATCCCATTCCAAACTAACTTCAAAGCTAGAACTGCACTCGCGCTGAAAAATTTCTCCATTCACAATGTAACGCACACTGGCTCGTATCACAAACACGAAGTAACGAATAGAGAAGGGCGAGACGGGAGAATTGAGAGATATACACTATACGTCACTTGCGCGCACTAATCACGAGCAATCACTCACCTAGCTGGACGTACATCTTCGGCCTGACGTTCTCCTGCCAAGCGGCCAGGGCGAGGGTGACAGTCGCGATGACGCACCAGCAGGACAGCAATCCCGGTTGCATCCTGGGGGCAACGCGGAGGCCGGCGCGCCTCATCTTCTCCACGCGATGATGTCGCAGCGGCGCGCGAAACGACGACGTGCCAGGGTTCGCGGTCTCCTCCGCGGGCACCGAGAACCACCGCGAACGGCACACGCGAGAACGAAACGAAACGAAACAAAACGAGATCCGGTAGGGGTCGCGGACGCGCAACGCGCACCGTACGCACGCACGTACCGTACCGTACCGTACGTATCACCGTCACACTGCGCTCCGCGCAACAACGACAACGCCCGTAGTGCACGCGAGTTACTTTCTCTCGTCGCGAGCACTCACTGCGCCGGGAAGCGCGCGGATGCCGCGGCGGCAGTCACGTGTGGTGGGACCATGTCGTTCCCCATTGCGGTCGTTGCATCCACGGTCGTCCACCGGCGGCCTGCCGCACGCATGTCTCACCGAGGACGGTCGGCCGCCCCGCAGCGGCCAGGCGGCGACACATTCACGTTCACGAAGGGGTACCCGGAGCGGCGCGCGTTCGGCACGCGCGCCGGCGCACGGCGAGGTGGACGCGGAACCCAAGGGACCCCGAGAGTTCACCCAGCAACCGGCGGCACTCGCGTTCACGCGTTCAAGCGTCCACGCGCGAGCGCCGTACGGAACACACGAGCGAGCACGACGTACGCCTACGACGTACCCGGAGAAACTACGATAGCGCGCGTATCAACCCGTCCGCGCCCGCTGACGCTCGCCGTCACACTGATGTCGCGACAGGTGACGCGCACTCCCCACCAAGCGGCGCACTCCCCACCGAGCGCTGCGCTCCCCATCAAGCGGCGCGCACTCCGCTACGCCGCTCCGCACTCCCGCGGGCGCAAGCGCGTAACGTTGTAACGCGCTTCTTCCCTCTCTCTCTCTCTCTCTCTCTCTCTGCTCCGAAAGCGTGTCTATATGCGTGATTACGCGTGACCGGCGTACGCGTACGCGCGACGTGCACGCACGTGGATATGGACGCGTAGAGAACGAAGGAGAGATAGGGGCAGTGGATTTCTGGTGGGACAGCCGAGCGAGCGATCGAGGGGCGCGTGAGTCGGAGAGAGTGACACCGGGCAAGCGCCGATTTTCAACCCCACTACCCCCGCAGCGCGATCATGCCGTTGTCGTCTTCCACGTCGGTGTCCCTTGTCGGTATCTCACCGTAGCCGCCACGGCGTCGCTAGTCTGGAACGAGAAAAAGAGAGATCGTTACTCGAGTTGGTTAGGGATGCTTCAATCCAACAACGTCCACTTCTTCTCGCAATACTTTTGCACTGTCTTATAGCGAATTCTCGGTTGAACGCACTAGTGCGCACTGGTGCACATTAAAGCCGTCGTACACAAATTAACGTAAAGTGTATATTTAATATAAACGGGTTAAATCACGAAATCCTCAATATTCTTTATTGTTCTATTTGGTAAAATATGTATTGGGTATTTTATCAGATTTGGCATTTTACTTTAAGATTAGAGATAACATCAGTATACAACGGCTTTAATATGTACCAGTCCGCACTAGTGCATCCAACCGATATTCCAACCGAATTCGCTATTAGATATTTTTGAATTAATTCAAGACCAACGGTGTCACGTATTAAATGTAATTTTCGAAGAACTAACTAGAAATTATAAACGTCGTTAGAACGTCAAAAAAGAAATAAAATATTTAATACGTTCTTTCAGTTATATTTGGAGAGAGAAGAATTTTATGAAACTTTACTGAAAACTTAATTACTGAGCTAATTGACATCGCGAGAGACGAGAAATCTGAATAAGATCACGATTAAAAAGATCAACTTTAAATTCTTCGAAGGGTGAAACTTATTGCGCGAAATCTCGTTTGGCGCTCTAAACAAAACGAATTTCGTGGTCCGAAATTTCAGGAAGCTCGAAAACCGCAAAGAGTCAGAGTGAACGAAGAAATCCGATTACGATTCGATTTCGCGTTAACGCACGCGCCTGGGAGTCCTGCGGGGGGCGCCCGGCCGCCCAAATAAGGTTTCATCACACAGAAAGTCCTGGCTGCTGCGGCGGGATAACGAAATTATCCAAATACGACTGATTCGTCAGCGAATTTTATGAACGTATCCTGTATGCGCGGTGCGTAGCGACGCCGCCGACGTTGACACTGTTCATTAATTTGGCGAGCCAAGTGTACGTGGGAAGGGGAAGCGGCGCCGCGGGAGTGGACGAGCGTCGCGGGGTAGGAGGGATAGGTATGTGTGCACCGAGACTCTAATTCCTACACCAATGATTGGACATGCCTGCACGAGGGAATTCGCCGGGTGTCCGCGACGTGTACACGCAATTTCGCGTGGATATGCGTGTCCGCGCGTACACGCATCGTTCGGCATTCTCGCTCCTTTAATCCTCGATCCGTCGAAACATGCGTGATACATTTGCGATATCACCTTTCCGTAAAATTTTTGAGAAAATTCAACAGAAACAATCCTCTCCTCCCTTTTTAAAGAAACTTTTAAATATTTCATATATCAACTTTTTATGTCTCAACCTTTAACTTTTCATATTCCAAGTATTTTTAATAATATGATTACTCCAAAAATAATTTCTCGAAGTTAGATTAATAATTAAAACTGATATTTTTGGCTTATCTTATTAAACTAAAGCTAATAATTAAGTATAACAAGGAAAAAGATAAAACGCAAATATATGACTTGTACTTTTAAAGCTACATTAAGATAGAGAATGAAGTACTCGTATAACGTATGTTAAATCCTCATATGAATTTTCATGGCGTAATAGTCACGGCGGTCGTTTATTTCATAATTAGTACAACCTCCGAGTTGTACTAAATGGAGTTATTCGACCATACGTTGTTTCATTCGCTTGGAACGAGCAGCGACGCGGAAGAATAACGCGGGATGTGAGCTTCCAGTAAAATATTAATAAAAAAGAATCCAACTGTCATGAACGTTGCTATGGCGATATCTCAATTTTGCGGTGCGATCCAAAGAGCTGTTCTAATTGAAAAAACAATATATCGGTACACTTCATAGATTCTTCTTCGAAATATATATTTATGGTTGCGGTTAGTGTCAATTTGAAAAAAAAACTTTTTTTTTATGCAAGCAAAGCTTTCGTCCATATAGTTCGTTCGAAGTTCACGTCTGTATAAAATAAAATATAATGGAATATACAGTGCGAGCCATCTAAAGCGATAAGTGGCCATGCAAAAATGTATCGATGTTTCATAGATTCTTCTTTGAAATATATATGGTTATGGTTAGTGTCAATTTGAAGAAAAAATCTTTTTTTTTCCCATGCAAACAACGACGGTGCATACTTCGACCGTAGTTCGTTCGACATTCACGTCCGTATGAAATGAAATATAATGGAATATACAGTGTGAGCCATCTAAAGCGATAAGTGGCCATAACTAGAGAAGAAACGACACATAAAAGATACGTGTGTCACAGTATCACTGTCAATCGTAGCGCATGTACGCGTTGCGCTTATGGAGCGATTTAAACTGGCAATACGGCTTATATCATCGTATCTAACACCTACTTTAATCGAATAATGCTGTTACAACAAATAATATAACTTCGCATTTACTCAAAATCTAAATTCTAAAACATAATAATTGATACGTGTGACAATTGTTTTACTTAAAATTTTCCATGTTTGAAATCAATTTACTGATATGTCATTATTATTATAATAAAAATCATTATCATATTAACATAATGCATAATACGTCTCTCTTTTTCTTTTTAATTCTTTTAATTGGCATTATTGGCAACCAGAGAAGCTAGATGTTAACTCATTGCAGGCTCTTTGCGTGCATTACAAAGGGTTTAGTCAAAAGGATGTTTCAGCGACCCCTCGAAGTAACATCGTAAGCGATACCATAGACAGCGTTGCTAATGAAAATGAAGAAACGGAGATTGAATGCGTCACGACATGGAGGTGTCGCGCGAGTTCAAAATGGTACTCATCTATAAATGCGTTTCGCTTTACGAAACTCACTATTATATTTCAGTAGATCAGCGTGTCACTGAATTACTCGAATATTGAAAAGGACCGTAGCACGTTTTCCGGTGTCTATCACGAAGTGCCTTCTCTCTGTTCCTGTTTCTATTTAAAAGAGAGATATTCTGACAAGTTTCAGAAAAGATACATACCAGGAGAAGATGCTTCGTGTCACGTAATTTATATTACTTGTTTTTAGAATCTGATCTTCAACGTTGATTAACGATGTTTAAATGTAATTTAACCTGCGACCATTAAATTTTCACTCTAAAAATTTAATTTGCGATTTCATTAATAAAATCAAGTTATTTAATACTAATTAAGAATGGAAACGTAATAAATCATGAGATTCTCAGATTACGCGCTCGCTAAGAAAAAGTGGATCTCCCACGTTTTGCCTCCTTTTTTCTGAAACATCTACTACAGTATGCAAGAGCGATCGAAAGAGATTTGCGAAGACGTTCATCGGGCAAGCGCGAGAGGATGGGCGCGGCATGTTTCGGCGAGAAGAGGCGTAAAAACTCGACAAGATTCGGGAGTGGAGCTCTGCAAAATATACTCTCGCGAAATTGTCCCGCGGGAGTGACTTCGTCCGAGTCGATTTCGCACGCGTTTAACATCGCACGAACGACGACGGAAAAGTGCCGGCAGGCAGTGTTATCTGAGGGGCGCTACAAGAGACGAGGCAAGGGACGAGGGGGCAGTAGGGATCGATAACCGAACAACGGGGAAAATCCCGGTGGAAAACGCGCGGGAAGCGCGGGATACCGATGTTGCTGAGGGGAAGAGACAGAGATAGAGAGGAGGAAGAGAGAAAGAGAGAGCGAGAGAGAGAACAAAACTCGCATCTATCGGCGGGCACGAAACCAAACTCGATTAAGTTCAAAGTTTAACTTCCGGGGTGCGTCGTAACGGGGTAGGAGAGAATGGTGTTCCGGATGAAATTAGTTACATCGCTTAAGACGGATTCTCGGACGCTATTGCCGTCACCGCAATGCGTCCTCTTCTTTTTCTTCTATTCACGGCCGGAGGCACGTGGAATCTCGCGAGGAATCTTTCTTCAGGCAGCGCAAAAATTAACGTAGATAAAGGTATCCAGAAGTCTAACTAATCTCTCGCAAGGGCGGCGGTAGGAACGCGGTAAGGTCGGTAAAAAAAAACACGGTTAACTACCGACGAGCAACGAGGAAAATTCCTGCGGATAGGACGAGTGAGGGTTCTGAAGAAGGGGGAAGGAGGAGGCAGCTCGTGCCTGTGGCGAGCTCTGCGCGAGCAAAGGGCTCGAAATAAAACTCAATTAAGTGCGGCCGAAGTTCAACTTCCGTCAAATCTTAAATAAAAAGAATTTTCTGGGTAAAACTAATTAGCCCACTTAAGCTAGAGTATTTTTGCGCCGGGACGCATAGGACAGGTCTCTCTCGAGCAAAGGGGAGAAAAAAAAGAAGGCAATTGGAGCGCAGAGCGTTAAGGATAATAGATATCCCAGATCGCCCTATTTTAGTTTTCGAAGTGTCGAGAAGAAGAGCAGCAACTTTTCCTTCTGACAAAGTTTCCAATAGAAAGAGAAAAAGATATTGGATACGGCGAAACTTCCGATACGGCCGATACAGCTCGACAGCTGAGCTCTGATTAAAATCAATTAAAGCCATTAGCACCCAATATTTAAGTTTCCCGAGCAGTCTTTCGTTTCCGTCTCGTGAAATAACAGAAACCAATCGGGGCCGGCCTTCGCCACAAGGCGGAGTGTTTTCCCTTTGGTAAATCTGATTACGCCGAGCAAAACAAAATATTCCGTAAAATGCGGTAAATATCGCGTCGATCGCCATAAACACGGCCATTATACTTCAGTCGGGTGCGCTTACAAACGCGAACTTCTCATTGCATTGCTCGACGTGGACCGTAACGGCCGGCGATTTTTATTAAAAGGAAAGAAGGGAGAAAGGTCTAGAAAGAAAGAGAAAGAGAGAGCAAAAAGCGCCACACGGCTCGCCGAATAACGAAAGAGATCTCGCTGGAAAACGCGAGAGTACGTTGTTGCGGCGCTCGTCGAAAGCGAGAGGTAGAGAATGGTCGGTACGATAGAGGGTTGCAGCAAAAGTCGCGGCTGCTGCAGCAGGCAGTCGAGCGATCGAAGGGCGTGGAACAAAACTCAATTAAGTCCGCCGAACTTCGACTTTCGCGGTAGCGTTACA